CCCGCCCCACCCCGCCCCGCCCCCTCGCTACCTACATTTTAAGGTCCCGCCCCTACCGGAACTCCGTCTGGTCCCGAATTACTCAGGTGACGTACCCTTGGAGAGTCCAGGGAAGTAGCACTTCTCAAACTTTCATATGCCCTCCAGTTACTTGGGGACCTTGTTAAAGATGTAGAATTTTGACTCCGGAGTAGGGACTGATATTCTGCATAATAAGTTCCTAGATGACGGCCTTACTTTTTTTAAAATTAAAAATTTTCTGAGGTTGGGAGGAAAGACAAGTGACTGCTAACTATGGATTTTCGTTAGAGTGGGGGGTTGATCTGGGGTGAGCTCACAGAGGTGATTGAATAACTTTGTGAATGTGATAAAAGCAATTAACTGGATACTTTAAAAGGGCGAAATTTATGATACATTAATTATATATAAAAATACTGCTATCTAGTTAACTTTGAAAATAAAATAGTTGTATAAATGGATATCATATGCATGTTATAAAAAATTCAGAAACAATAAAAAGAGAACATCTCTTTTCAACCACCATTATAATCCTACTTCACAAATAGTTCAAAGCGTATCCTTTCAGATCTTTCTATATGCTTGTATGTAGACTGGGAATAATTTTTTTCTATTTTAGAGAGATTTTTGCTATAGAAAACGTGCCCTCGCCAGAGAGAAACAAAGACAGAAAGCAAGAAATCACACACACACACCCCTTTGGAGTTGGGGTTGGAGATGGCCACACCACACTCCCCTCTCCATTCACCTGTTGGGATTTTGAGCACACACATACACATACCCAGTGTGTTTTAATCTGCTGGTCGGGGATTCGAACCATAGTTAACCATGTGGGAGTCTAGCGAAGTAACCATTACAGCATCTGCTGGTCCTGAGAATTTATTTTTACCTAAGTAGGATCATTGTATACAAATTGTTCTGTTTGGCTCATTGGTTTCTTATTTTTTTGTTTGTTTCTTTTTTTCTTACTTAAGGAGATCCTGCCATGCTATAAACATAGCTCTACTTCATTCTTTCTAATGGCGGCCTACTATTCTGTAGTAAGGCTATATTATGATTTATTTAAGTAGTCCCTAGGTGCTGGACATTTTGATTGTTTCCAGGTTTTCATTATTATCTTTTAACAAGAACAGCTAACAGACCAATTGATTGGTTTTGTTCAGTTTCTTTCACAGATACCTTTGATGGGCAACCATAGTTCGAGTCCTGGACATGGTGGCTTGCTTTCTAACTCTCCTTCCCACCCCGCCCCCTTGTCAAATTAAAATAAATGAATGAATAAATAAAATTATATGATTGTTTTTAAAAAATCAAAATAAATGTGTCCTTAAATATTCTTCAAGATTAATTATAACTAAAAATTATTTGCATAATCTTTATGCTTTATAAGTTCACATAATACATTTCAAATAAGTAAAGCAAGTTCCTAGATTTATTGTATTTTTTTCTGGAAGATAATTTAGTAAATATATTATGGTTTATGCAAGATGTGAGATGAAATTTGAGAAAGACATTAGCAATAGATATGCCATCAAAAAGCATAAGGTTGTCAAAAATGAAAAACTTACATATTTTTGTGTAATCTAAATTGGTTAGAAACATGTTATTTTCAGAATGTTCTGGTTCTTTTCAAACCACTCAGATATGGGATGGTATTATTTACTCCCTTCAGACTCAAGTAGAAATAAAAAGAAGAGGGCACCATTTACGAACATACAAAGATTGTTTTACTGGCTCCGATGTTATTGATGCAGTATTAAGTCATTTTATGTACAGTATGTACCTAAGTATCAATGACATCTCTCGTGTTAAAGGAGTTCATCTTTGCCAAGTTGTAATGAATCATGAAGTAATTGAACCTGTAGGAACAAAGCTCTTCAAAAATGAAAAGGAATTGGAATTTGAAGATTCCAACAGTATTCTTTATAGTTTTATAGAATTATTTTATTTATTCATTCATTTATTTTATTTTATTTTGACCACAGCAAGACAGAGAGAGAGAGAGAGAAAGTAAAAAAGCAAGCTACCAGTTCTGGGATTCAAACCATGGTTGGCCATGTGGGAATCTCCAGCACCTTAACCACCACGCCACCTGCTGGTCCCCAGCCTCTACAGATTTCTAAGTGATAAACCATCTTATGTTTTTTGTAAAAGAAAAAAAGAATACTGAGGATAGATTGATTAATTAAATAAAAGAACCTTTAAGGTTAATGTTAACCAAGATACTGTAATATCTTGTGTTTGGATCCTGGTGGCACTGTCTTTGTTGAACTAAACTGAAGTAGTTAGCTCATAAAAGAAGTACAAAAAATAATCAGCTTCATTTGTTTTTAAATTATTGTGGAGGGACCAGCAGTTAGCTTAATGTCTATGTTGCTGGACTCCCATGTAGTCGACTGCAGTTCGAGTCCCAGACCCGGTGTCTTAAACTCACACCAGGTGCATGTGCGTGCATGCCCAAGATCCCAAGAGGAGAATGGAGGCCAAGGGATTGCGGTGTTGGCCATGCCGCCAGAGGGGTGATTTCTCGCTTTCTGTCTCTGTCTCTCTCTGTCTTTCTGGTGAGCACACACGCCCTATAGCAAAAACCTCTCCAAAAAAGAAAATAAGTAAATAAATAAATAAATAAATTATTGTGAATAACATTATCATATAATATTTTAGGAAAAACTATATCCCTTGAAGAATTAATATTCTTTCTAATTTCAAAAAACAACTAGCTATATTATCAATAAAAGCCCAGGTTCTCTGGAAACTTAGAGCAAAATTGTTCTACTCTATCATGGCAACTATGTTATCCTTAGAATTAAGTTATATACTTTCTCTTTATTTCTCTTTTCTGTTAAATTATGTTAAAAATGTTTTTCAAGGGTCAGCAGGTAGTATGTCATTAAGGTATTGGACTCTCACATGGCAAACCATGGTTTGAGTCCTGGACCAAGTAGCTTGCTTTATCACTTTCTTTTCTCTTTCTGGTGAGTGAATGTGCTCTACAGCAAATTTGAAAAATAATAAATAAAATTAAAAATAAATAATTATTTAAGAAAAGATGTTTTACAAAACTTATTTCCTTTGTGAGTGTGCAAGAGAGAGAGAGAGAGAGGAATTTTCAATAGGATCTTCACACCATGATCCCGCCCCAAGCTCTGTAACCAGCTAGGATTATAGGCATGTCCTTGAGCATATTCAGCATGTTCTAGGAAAGAACATGACCCAGAGCCTTTCTATATAGCCTCCAGCATTGTGAAGCAGTGTTCCTATTGCATGTATCACTGAAGTTAGGCCTCTGTTAAATTCATTACTTGTATTGGGGCCAGATGGTGTAATGGTTATGTCACTGGACTCCCATGTAGTAGATGACGGTTCGAGTCCTGGACCCATGACTTAAAAGCTCTTTGGGGGTGGAGGGCAGGTGGCATGATGGTTAAGGGCACTGGTTTCCCACATGGGTGACTGCGGTTCAAGTTCCAGACCTGGCAGCTTGCTTTCCCACTGTCCCCTCTCTCTCTGTCCCTCTCTGGTCAAAATTTTTTTTTTAAATTAAAAAATAAATAAAAATAAATAAATAAAATGAATGAATAATTCTTTTTTAAAAAAAGAGAGAGAAAGAAAAAAGATCCCAAGAAGAGAATGGAGAAGAGATTGCAGTGGGGCCATTTCCCCCAGGGGGTGATTTCTCGCTTTCTGTCTCTCTAAGTCTTTCCAGCGAATGCATATGCCCTATACCAAAAATCTCTCTCTCAAAAAATATTTGTTATTTGTAGCTTTTATTGTAAACTGCTTGAAATCTTTTTTTTTTTTTGAAATAAGAACTTTATAAGTAAATTCCTATAAATTAATTAAAATGTATATTTCGATTTTGGTCCTGGGTAATACAACCCTATATTTTTTACCAGACTGGAAAGTGAAATTATTTCAAATCCTCTAGCACAAGAGATGATGAGGAAAGCATCAAGGAACTTATTCATACAATGAGTAGGAATCCAGTTTTACCTTCAGATATCACAGTTAGCAAACCTGTTCTTCAGCTTTAAAAAGTAGGTAATGTCAGTGTCCTTTTCTTTTTCAGAACTTTATAAAGAAAAAGTGACCTTTTTTTGTTAATAGACTATTTAAGAGCACTGTCTGCAAAACTGAGAAGAAAGTACAGAGAGTTTCCCTTAAACCTCTTTGTCACCATTCACATAAAACCTCTCATTCTGTCAACATGATGGCCCAAAATGTGGTACATTTGTTGTAATGACGAACATTCCTTTATTTTATTTTATTGTTTTGAGAGAGTTTTTTGACGTAGGGCACGTGTGCTTTCCAGAGAGACAGGAAGACAGAAGGCAAGAAATCACCCCCCATGGGAACCAGCAGTTAGCGTAATGGCTATGTCGCTGGACTCCCACGTAGTTGACCGCG